TATGATGTGGGAAAAATGAGCGGAGAGGTTTTTCATGATTGAGTTTCCACGTAGATGATGCGATTATAACTTTGAAGCTAATCAAAACAGAAAAAAGAAAGAAAAAGAGTGTGTATGAGAGAGAGAGAGAGAGAGAGAGAGAGAGAGAGAGAGAGAGGTGCGAGAGTTTGTCAGTGCAACACGCAGTTGGCAATGGATGGTCACTTAGGCTAAGGGGCTATAGCTATATAGTTAAAAAAGTATATGAGCCATGACCAACCATATAGCAAATATTGGGATCACGGACTGGAGAATCTAATTTCTGTGTTGGTACATTCTCTGTCACATTGGTCTTTAAAATGTTTAAATAAAATCGAAGCATAGTTTGATAAAAAGAAAACAAAAATTTACAGGGATTGTGGAGAGAGAGAGAGAGAGAGAGAGAGAGAATGGTTATGTAATTTTTTCAACAGAATATCAGATAACTCCCCCAGATTTTATTGCCAAATGAAAGGACACATGGTGACTAAAATCTTGGGTCAGTTACTTGACTCAGTATATATATATAATTTTTGCAGAGACAAACATGGAAAATTTTCAAATATATTTGGGGATAAAATGATTGAAAAAGACATATATTTTGTTTGCGTGGAAGCTTTTCTGTGTTAATAATGCAGTGTTCAGTCTGCTTCGTCCTTCCCACCATTGGAAACTGACTTTGGTTTATAATTATTTCACAAAAAGGGAGGAGGAGGCAGAAGTTTTTCATGCTCGTGACTTTTTTACCTGTGCGCAGACAACACGAGAGACATTAGAAAGTCAATCTCGTGACTGTGGCTTCAAGTTTCTACCAGCGATGAAACAAAAACATTTGTCCTCTTGTATCTTTATTTTGATCATGTGAAGTATATAGTTACTTACTCCACCAAGGGCAAAATTTTACAATGTATATGCATTTTATAAAAAAGCTCCTAAACGCCTCTTCGATATCACCAAGTATTTTGACTAAAAATATCGACAATGTATCAAATACTTGGAATATTTTTCGGATAGGTTTTTTGAAATGTATCTGATATATATATGTATGTATGTATATGTATATGTATATAATATGATATAATATTAGGATGTGAAAGCTGACAGATAAGCTGAAGATTATTCTGTGCCGTGCTGTATAGAATGAGAATTATTTATTAGTGAGGACCCAAGTATGAGATGAAGGAGAAGGAAATGGAACTAGCTAGCTCCCATATAGGCCCATGTACAGAAGAGAGTGAGCTTCATACGCTATTGCCAATCTTTATGTTACAACCTTATCCTTCAGTTTTGTCAATTGCTTTATTTTCTTAATTAGTTTCTTCCCTTTGATCTTTCATTTTCCAAAATTAAAATCCCGCTAACATTGTCATAGACTTTGTCCAGGATTTTATTTGATATATCAAATTCACGCTCATATATCCCTCAAGTGGTCCCGAATTCAAATCCTCATAATACCTGAGTGCGTGAGTTTCTCCCTCCTCTTACTACTGATATGTCCCCTAAGATATGAGAATATTATAAATACATTAATTCATACAATAATCCATCGAATATAACCAGCTAATTCCACATATATTTTTTGTTTCGGGATATTAAATTAGTTGCACATATGCATCATGCATGCGTAAAAGCAATTAATAAAGCCAATGATTTAGTTAAAAAAGAAGAAAAAAAATCGTTGTGCATCACACCCTACCCCACCAAAGGGAAAAACGAATGTCCAAATAACAAAGGAACAAAACAAGCTCTCAATACAGGCAGTAGAGAATATGTAACGAAAACGAATATTGCAATGTTTTTCAGAGATAAAACTCGATGGATGCATGTATATTCTGTGGGACCTCAACATTTCAACAGAAACATTATGGTGGTGGAATTGATTTGATGTCACACCATGCTTTAATTTGGTTAGAGCTTTTATATATGGTTTCACATTTCATCTTTGTATGTATTTCTTTTAGAGCTTGAAAGCCTCTTAGGCCACGTGAAATGACGCAGTTTAGAACCAATTGGCTAGTTGGCTTGCTATATATGCAAATGCCTTTGAATTCATCAAAAACCCTTTTTACACTAGCCTCTTTTTTGTTTAGTACACGTGATAATCTCAACTACAAGGGAGAGGAGATTTTTCACACATATACGCACACAACTAAAATGTCACGGGAGTTCGAACATGAGACCTATAAAATGCAATTCAATGTATTTTTTCTTCTTCATTTGTTTGATGAATTTGGTTATTTCTAACCGCTTTGTTCTCAACCAACCAACTGGGGCCTGAGGCTTTTCTTGTTCCTTTTTTTCTTCATCTTTAATTGTTGCTAGCTTAATTAACACTCTTTGTTTTCCTTATCTAATCGCTGGCTTTGAATGTGGCTTGCATGCATGATTGGTTGGTTGGCTAAGGATTGGCCATTGGGGGAGACAAAGAATACGACCATAAATGAGAAGTTGAGAAAGAAAATATCATCGGTTAGAGATGTGGCCAAAAAAATTAGAGGGCCTAAGAAAACCTAACTTGATCATGAATCTAAACACATGGACCCACCCAACCCAACTTCTCCTCCCTATCTATCTCTGGATTTTTGACTACTTCTAGTTTCTAGATGAGAAGGAAAATAGACCCTTCAATGAATAAAAAATAAATAAATAAGTTGAAAGAAATAGTTTATGTTCATGCATGGATGAGACCATCCTTCGTGGATAGATCATGGATGACAAAGCTGAGCTTTATGCTAAAACAGTAGCATGGGTGTGGATAGTGATTGCCCATTACATTCTTATCCTTAAAAATTCCCATCAATCAGTGCAAACGCAAAGAGATAGCTTTGCCAACTAGCTCTCCATATGAAGCTCAGAATGATATGCTTTCTTCTTCCTTCTCCTCCTCCTCCTCCTGCTTATCCTCTTACTTCTAGTTCCCTACTGGTTTGGAGAATCTCTGTTGTCTTTGTCAAATATTTGTATTTATTTATTAATCTTCATAAGTGCGTTAACTGTAAACTGTTGTGCGCCGCAAGATCCAAGCCTTAGTGGCTCAAAGTTGGTTGGTTTGCTCTTGTTTCTCTGGTAAGTTGTAATGAAAGCGGCTCTTGCCCACATTATTTCAGGGGAAATATTGGACTTCACTCCAAGCATTCGATCAATAATTTTAGAGAAACGTTAATGGTATAAGCAAGAGCGGAACTAGAAATCTTTTTATGGGTGGGCTAGCTAAATTTTTTAGCTTAAACTCTAATCTTGTTTTTTCATTGACTAATTTTTAATAAACTTTATAAGACTAATACATATTAAATGTAACAAAAAATAACACATTATCAAAATTAATGTGTTCAAAAATATAATTGAAAGTGTACCTATTCAAGTTTATTGTTTCTTGGCATTAACCGAATAAGAAAAATACAATATAAATAAGGGCTTATTAGATCTAGGTCCAAAACGATTAGCTGTCATTGGATTTAGTTCACACGTTTTTAGTTTTAGATGTGGGTCCTTTGACATTTATTACTTTTTTGTGGTGTCGATTTTACCCTTAGAGGTAAATAAGGAAAATACATTGAAAATCTAAATTAATGCATTATTTCCTTGTAATTGAATTTTAGAATTTAAATTTTGAATTCTTTCCTTGATAATATTCCTAATATATGGATAAAATATAATTTAATCAACAAAAAGTAAAGACCCACATAATATACCAATTGATCAGACAAGCACCCACATGAAATTATGTACATGACATCAAGGTAAATAGTGTTATTATTATTAGCAACAAAAAAACTTAGTGATAAATCGTGTTACCTATGAGTTAGGAACATAAATTAGAAGACTTCCTATAAGTCAGATATAAAAATAGACAAATAAAATTGTATGTTACCTACAAAAAATGGCTAATTATTATAACATAAATAACTATTCCTTGATTCAAGTCATAAGGGGCAACATTGGAACTAAAAATGATTTATAAAATAAAATAAAAAATATTACATAAGAAAATATTAAAAAGAAATGTAATCCTATATGGCACAAAAGTCAAAGGACTTTTATCAAAGTTACTAAATCCAAGGATTAAACCCAATTCCTTAATAAAAATTTGAATCTTATCAACTTTTCTATATAAATAATTAAGTTTCACACATATATATATTAGTTGTGAACACAAGAAGAATATAATTAGGTTAATGTTCCATTTTTGAAAGTCTCTTCCCACCTGTGATGCCATCTGTAATTATGGGTTGAAGGACTTGTGAGGGTTTTTATTGAGTACAATATTAAGAAGCTTTCCCTTTTTATTTTAGGGGAAAAAGGATTATTGACTTTGCCAACAAAAGAAAAGAAAAAACCAAAAAGCAAAAGGCCGCATGCTTCGGGGAAAAAAAAAACAAAACCAAGGCTGCTAAGTAATTGCATGATTCGGTCAATTTGATTAGAGGGTTGGATCAAAGCAAAAGGCAACAAACTTGGAGGGCCATATAGATGTAGGTATTTTTTTTCTTCCTTCAAAGCTTTCCTTCCACTCTTGATATAAGACGGAATCTAAAAGACAGAACATTTGAACTTGAGACATCTCTTAATAATGTATGGAGTTTGAATTATGTTAAAATCAATGACCAAATCAAGAGACACGGAACATGTGAACTTGAGACATCTCCTAATAATGCATGGAATTTGAATTCTGTTAAAATCAATGGCGGTTAAACAGTTATACCCCATGATGTGTTTCTTGAAGATGGCTGTCTGTCTATTTTTAATTAATGTGGAGTGTCTTTTTAACAGCGACTCAGCAGTTATCTTAATCTGCTCAAGATGAAACCTAATTATGGCCCTTAAAAAGGAATTGACCTGCCAAACTTTACATCATATCATTTAGTAATTCAGTTCCACTGTCCACACGTCTGAAAAATGCTTTGTGGTAATGCTTTTGTTTAACATGTCCTCATCCAACGAAGGCAGTAGTGGCCCAATTAACGAATATTAAAATTGCATGATTTATACAATCACAACCGTTTATTTTCAATGAATAAGACATTTGAAAAAAGGGGATTAACCTGGGAGTTTGTCAATATAGACGACTAATAACTGGATAAGCCAACCACAAATCAAACTTGGAGAGAAATCTCAATCTAATTTCCCAGTTTATAGTCTGTATAAGACAAGTTTAAGTCACATCATTAATGCCAATAAGGACAGAAGAGTCGAATAATCCTAGCTCGGCACTAATTATAGTGCAATCTTTTATTAGCGCTTTTGTACAATGACCAACATCATACAGTTTTATAACCTACTCATGTTGAGAGGTCCCAGCTCTTTGGCCTTGGCCCTCAGCAAGTGCTTCTGTATCTTTCCGGTAGCTGTCTTTGGCAATGGTCCAAATACCACTGATCTGGGAACCCAATAAGCAGGTAGCTTGGACCGGCAGAAGTTAATTATATCTTCTGCCAGACGCTTTTCATCAGACTTATCGACACCTGGCTTCAATGTCACAAAAGCACAAGGAGTTTCTCCCCACTTCTCATGTGGCCTTGCAACCACTGATACCTCAAATATGGCCGGGTGTTGATAAAGAGTATTCTCTACCTCAACACTACTGATGTTCTCACCTCCAGAGATGATAATGTCCTTTGATCTGTCTTTAATTTCTATGTACCCATCTGGATGCTTCACAGCAAGATCCCCAGTATGATACCATCCATTGGCAAAAACTTCCTCGTTCACCTTTGGGTTCTTTAAATACCCCTTCATTACAAGGTTTCCCCGCATCATTATCTCTCCCATGGTAGCTCCATCTACGGGAACAGGTTGCATAGTCTGAGGGTTGAAAACATCTAAGCCCTCCAAACCAATGTACCGAACACCTTGACGTGCATTAAGTCGTGCTTGGGTTACAGGGGGAAGTGAGTCCCACTCAGGCTTCCAAGCACACACTGTTGAGGGACCATAAGTTTCAGACAGACCATAAGTATGAGTGACTCGGAAGCCCTTTTGGGACATTGCAAGGAGAACAGAGGGTGGAGGGGCAGCACCAGCTGTCATTACGTGTACAACATGAGGGAGCGGCAGGATAGTCTCATCTGGTGGAGCATTGACTATGGTGTTGAGTACCACGGGTGCAGCACAAAAGTGAGTCACACCATACTCGGCTATAGCTGAATAAACTGCCTTTGCTGTAACCTATGAAAATGCCAAAAGGAGAGTGTGGACATGAACATCAAAGCAAGCTACCATAGAAAACTAAATGCAAAAAAATGGCAAACATCTGCCCTGTATACTTAAATGATTAACCTCCAAATGTGCCCAGCATCCACGTAAACAGAGAAACAGAAGAACTTGAAAAATAAAATTTGAAGCTCAGTCCCAAAACTTAAAAGGTTTACAACCAAACATGAAACGCTGCCTGAACATTATAGATCGATGGCACATGTAAAAATTTGGCACTACTGTAAGTACAGCATGTTGCCACAGCACAGAAAGTCCACTACAAGCTCCAAGGAGCATTTTTATATTGGTTTCTGAACATTCAATCAGGGAATCAGAGTTTACTATCACAATTGGGATAATAGGTTGACCAGAAAGGCTGATCAAATTGCACCATTCTATCTACATCAAATATAAGCAACAACACTATGACAAATTTGTTGGCGTGACTTGTGGATATTGACTTACTTTCCTTACACACCAAGAATTCCTATTATAATTGCAATTGATTTACTTTAATTCATGATTTCCTATTGTAAATAGATTTAGGAATTTATTATTTACTTGCTCATTCAGGTTTTGTTGTATTATAAATATAACCTCCTACAAGGAGAAGAATACACAGAAAACTCCCACAAACAAATATTCTCTCATAGTTTTCATATTTTAGCATGTTATCAGAGCCAGGTTTGTATTATAAATATAACCTCCTACAAGAAGAAGAATACACAGAAAATTCCCACAAACAAATATTCTCTCATAGTTTTCATATTTTAGCAAAATTCACACAAGATCAGAAAGATTAATTCATATGCTGAATCAATCATTGAAAATTACAAAATATTATTTACCTGTCGAAGGCATATGTTTGTCCCGCAAAGAGCTGCAACTGACCAAGGGAAACACCAACCATTGCAATGGAACATGGGTAGAGTCCAGAGATACACAGCTCCTTCAGTCATCCCCCATACAAGAGGACCACTCAAAGCCATCAGATAAGCCCCACGGTGATGCAAAACCACCCCCTTGGGACTGGCTGTTGTGCCAGAAGTATAACCCAGAGAAATGCTCTGCCACTCATCCTCTGGTGGTTTCCAAGCATACTCAGGGTCACCACTTTCCAAGAATTTCTCATATTCAACGGCGCCTCTTCCCAAAGCACTTTTTAGTGCCCCGGGATCACAATTTTCGTCACCTATAACAATTAAGAGTGGAGGCTTGTAATGGCCTTTGCTTTGCTCTTCCCAAATTTTCAAAGCTTCCTCTGCCAAGGGAAAATATTCTTGATCCACCATGACAACTACAGACGATGAATGACCAAGAAGGAAAGCAATCGTTGGTGCATTTAGACGGACATTGACAGTATTTAACACAGCTCCTGCCATCGGAACTCCAAAATGAGCTTCATAGATGGCTGGGATATTTGGTGCAATTATTGACACCTGTTGTCAATATCAGAGAAGTAATATATGTCAGTCAACAAGCTCCAACACAACAAAAGAAGCATATACAAAAGGTGATTATGAGACCCCACACAGGTATCTTAAAATTGATCCGAGATTTTAAAGAGGTGCGCATGGTTTCAGAGATTATTATGAATTCTTAAGAACAAGGATCCAGGTATTGCAGTACAATGAAAACAAAAAACCAGTAGCCAAAAAAAAAACAAAACAAAAAAAAAAACATTTTCCCATGCCAGTAGAAAGGAAATATGTCCATTAAAAGAATGACATTATGAATACTCAAGCATAAACTATCTGTTGATAGCATATAGACAACTAGAAAAGAACTTCAAAAATCCCCCAAAACAAGCATGGTGCAGAGACAATAGTTAGCAGCAAAGGAAGTGAAAAGAAAAACAGAAGCAAGATAATAAATAAAAAAGGCCATTATCTCAACAAAATTGAGCGTAAAACAGGAATGACCAAATTAAAAAGAACATTTTTGGGTGAAAATAATACCCTTCTGCATTTTGGAGGAAAAAGGAGATGTCACAGAAGCAATTCATTGCAAATGACCAGTGTCATGCTGCAATTGTTTCATAGCATGGTTCTTTGCATGCATATAGAGTAGAAATAGGTGTTTTTCTACAGGAACACTGGTGAGTTATTGCAACTTCAAAGTGTCTAATTGAAGTTGAAGACAGACAATATTAGCCGAATTCGGGACCTAGACCGAGGTGACATAATTGTAACTAGTTTTTTCTTTCTTTCCCAACTGTATGCATCTATGTGGAAGCCTTTTTTTTTTATTCCTTACTTTCTAAGGAAAGCCAATTGCATTTGGAAGGCTCGTTTTTGTTTCAATTAAATTACTTGAAATCCATAATGCAAAATATTTTCAAAAGTCTCTATAAGTTTCTTCTCTTTAACATTGAGTATTGAATGAGAAGAAGCATAAACCAGTAGAAGACTAAACTAAAAGCAAAGTCCTTTACAAACATGAAGCAGAAAGGGAAAAAATCCAAAGCAACCTACAAAGAAATCTAGCATTTAAATGTAATTTCATTTCCATAAATTTCAATTAAACATGCAAAAGAGCTTGCCTTTATTTTCCCTTATTTTCCTTCTCTGGTGATACATACATATCCATCTTCACCATTATCAAAACTAAAATATAATATTTGATGACATAAAAATAAAAATAATTTAAAATAATATAACAAATTCAGCTAACGTCGTCGATGACAGAAAATTAAGGTAAGCTAATGAAGTACCGTGGTGCCGAGGCCGATGGAGCGCTTGGAAAGAGCGGAGGCCAAACGGCGGCAACGCTGGTAAGTCTGCTGCCACGTGTAGTGAAGAGATCCGTGGACCACCGATTTTCTGGTGGGATGCACCACAGCTGCTCTCTCCAGAAACCACAGCGGCGTTAATGCCGTGTAGTTCGCGTCGTTCTTCGGCAGATCGTCTATGTCTCGCTCCACCACCATCTCTACTGCACCTCCTCGAATTTCTCTCTCTCTCTCTCTCAGAAATTCAGAGTTATGAGAAAGAAGCTGACAAGAGGTTGCGAGTAGAGCTGGGAGCTATATATATATATATATATATACAAATATTTTACACGACTTTCGTCATTGCTCATCTAATTCCAAGCCTTTCTAAATACACGACACGTGTCAGTTGCTTTCGTTCCCACATATTTTCGGGCTAGTTTTTTTTAACTTACTTTTCCTTTAGAGAAAATATTCAAGGACATATTGAATTTGGTATTTATTTACCAATAGAGAAAATATTAAAGTTTTGTGCTATCCACAAACATTACGGCCACAGATTTTGGTATAAAGTGGTATTTGTAGCGTCATCCTTTATTTCCTACTGCAACACTCTTATAACCATGTATTCAAGGTTTAGACTGCTTTTATTTTTCTTGCTTGTTGCTACTACGAGAATCGTTTTTACTTTCTCTTTTATTGTTTCGGCTTACTGAGTTCAAATGAAAATTTCAATATTTTTATTTATTTTCAATTCCCCGAAGCATTTTATGACACACTACAACCCCTATTCTAATAATAAAATGTTTAGGATGCTTTGTTTGAACCATGCCATCAAATTTATTTAAGGCAATGATATTTCATAAAGGAACTATTAGGGAAGGATCGCCATCCAAGTCCATGAATACTTGAATAGAGATTATCCACGCGTGCTATATAAGATAAAGAAATTGAAAGACAACTCCTAAGAAGCGTGTCTTTATGAAAACAAAAATATAATTTGTATTGTAAAATATAAATATATTCATGTAATTGCTTTTTGAAAATATTCAATAGATTAGGCCATGCTCAATGGTTGGGGCTCTAAAAGAGATTGATAGAGCCTTATTTAAAGTTTCAATAGAATCTTTTAGGCTCTAAAGGCATCTCTCCCACAATTTGAGACTTTATTTATATTTTTTTTATGATGTAATTTGATTTATAAATTTTTTAATTATTTTATTTTATTTTAATGTATGTTTATATTATGTTAGTTTTTTCTGAACATTTCAATAAATAAAAAATTAAAATTTAGACAAGATTTAAATATAAAAAAGTGATTAGAGTAAAGAAAAAAAACTAGCTATTTATTTCCCCTAAAAAAGGACTTACATTTTATTAATAAAAAAAGACCGGTAGGGGAAAAAAAGTACAAAAAGGAATCAAGTTTTTAATTCATTTTATAAGCTAGCACGCCCCGTGTGCAAGTGGTTTGGCAGCCGTGCGTCCTTGGCGATTGACATTGAGGAACGAAATGTAGGGCCCACTCAAGTTCAAGGGGCTTTAGCATTTAAAATGAATTGGAATGCCTTTCGGAGTGTATTATATATATGAGAGCACTATGGTGATTGAGGCTATATAACCGTGACTCGTTACGTGGTGCTGTAAAAATAATTTAAAATATATATATATAATTTCAAGGGGATGGCGTCAGCTTAATATGATCTGTCTCATTGACCGCGTTGTTTTGTTTCTTTGGTTTGGTTGCTCGTGTCATGTGGCCCAGGTCTAGTTCTTGGGCTACACGTAGACATGGCTTTCGAGAAATCTCTGGTGCCTTAACTAATTTTCAGTGTTATATGCACACCCACCAAATTGATATAAAAACATGAAGGTTTTCTTTTCTTTTTTTTTCTTTTTTTTTTTGGGTCGATATCAAAACATGAAGTTAAAGGAAAAAAAAAATACTAACAGGTCTAGTCAAATGAAAAGTGATATTGATTTGCAAATTAGTAGTTTCAGGCTCGAACTTTATGAATGCATAACTTTGACAACAACAAAATTAAAAGTGCAGAACAATCTTATACAATTATTGCAAAAACTCAAGTATGTCTGATGAGAGTTATGGAAGGTTAAGAAGAGGTTTTTCTGGCTGATGACCTTTGTGTTTGAATTATAAATACAATCTTTCGTTTTTATCTTAAAAAAAAGAAGAAAAAAGAAGAGGCTGTTACAAAAATGGGATTGACGTGTTTGGTATGGCGGAGCCACTCCTAGACCTGGAGTGGCCCTGGCCCTCCCATATTTTTATCACTCCTCTATTATATTATATATAATATATAGAATTTGTAATAAACAACTTAGAATTTAAGTTAAAATTTCCTCTAAAACAAATTAGACGTTACTCAATTAAAAATATTTAGCTCTAAACATGTAAGTATTGAATAGTTAGGTGTTTTATATACTTGTATTTTCACCTTCGGCCCCCCCAATTTTACAATTCTAGCTCCGCCCCTATATATATATATGTGTGTGTGTGTATATACATTATACAACAGTAACATAGTTTATACAAATCAAATTGCATAATTGCATACAATATTTTGAACTTGTAAACCCATAAATCACAAAATTTACACACAATATGCAGGCTTTTGCTGCAACTTCACACAAAAGATAAAAGAAGTTGAATATAATCTGTCTTCATTTTGCTTCCCCTTCCTTCCTTCCTTCCTCTTCAATGCATATATTCTCAAAACAAATTACTTTCCTTCCTTATTAATACATGTATATTTTTTTAAGGGTACACTAATTAGCTCAACAAATTGACAGGCCCTATCGCCACCAAACCAAGTTCAAGAAGACGAAGATGAAGAAGAAGAAGAAGATGAAGATGAAGGATCAAAAGCTTTCTGCTCAGCACAGCTGAGCACTTCATGAGGGCCTGCCTCTTCTCTGCCAACTCCAATAAGATCAAGATAATACAAGTAATGGGAGACAATGTTGTCCATGGAGTCAACATCACCTTGACCACAAACTTGGTCCCCATAAAGCAGATTGATGGTGGTGCCAAACCCAGGAGTTCGCTTGGCCAAAGTGTCGTTCTTAGATGGCTTCCATTTCCCAACAAAGACATCATGGGCTGAAGGAAGGTGCTTCTTCACTGGGTTCATCCATCTCCAGATTGCAGCCTGGAAGGCTAGGGTTGCATTTTGTTCTATGTATTCTGGATGGTTCAACAAGTCCACTTTCAGGGCATCCCCTGTTTCTCCATAGTTATAGTTCCTGCAAATCAAAGACACCCAAAATAAGCAGATGTGGGGTTAGGTCAGTTGGGAGGGCATTGAGTCCATCCCTCTGCGCACTCAAATTCAAGTACCCCTCACTGTAGATTAGATTAATTTAGTCTATCGCTTGTTTAAGAAAAGGAAAAAAAAAAAAGAAACCCAAAATGAAATTTTGCATAAGAAAAAGAAAAATAGAATTGGAAATGGATTTAAAATGTGTTGTTTTGTACCAGTAGAGTGGCAAGGCACCACGGCCATGGTATGAAGCTCCAGGAGCGCAGGGATAAGTGTATTTGTAATAGTCATCACAGTAGAACTGGCTAGGGCTCTCTTCCTTGTTGTAGCATAGACCCCAAGCCAATGGTCCTCCTGTGGCTACCCCATACCCACCTGAAAATTCAAACAAAAACCATCATCCATTGTTTCTTCATGTACAAGACTGCAAACAATCATTTTTAAACCTAGCTTGAAAAGCAATTTTACTCAAAACCCTTCAAGGAAAAGCATTGTGGATGAAATCATGGAATCCATAAGATCAAACAGCAGCATTCCTAGATTTGTACGTTCTTTTTCCTTGGAGTCCTGAGGAGCTAATCAAAATCCATTTAAAAACAAGTACTAATTCAGAGCTGGAAAAGATTGTTTGGTACCGAATACCAAATGTGGTTGATATTTTTAGTTCAATATTTGACAATAGTATCGATCAAATATCGACAACATATCTATCAATTGGTACTCGCGACCAGCCAATCACTGTCATATATACGGAGAAAAATAGGTCCTAAAAGAAGTCCAACAAAATCAACCCGCAAAACCCAAGATATAAATTTTTTTAGACTTACATGAAGTTTTGCTGCCGACATGGCCAAGGAAAGCAGCAACTTCCTTCATTCCTTGGAGCTTGCCTCCTGTAGTACCAAAGCCCTGAGGCTGGTAGTCAGCAGCTGCAGTAATGAAAGAATGGTAGTCCCAGAAGCCCACTGCATGCGCCACGGGCGCGTTACGCTTAGAGAAGAGGGTCTCAAATTGGTAAGCTTGAAAATAATCAGAAATGGTCTGGTTACAACAATATAATGACCATCCCTTACACTCCCACCCCTTGTCACACAGCTTCTTGCCCTTCACTATCTTCACCAATGGCTTCACAGACGACTCTTCTTGACTATCCACAACATGAAGGGCCAGCATTGTAGCTGCCATGGAGAAAAACACCAACCATTTTGCCTCCATTTTTGCTTTGATTTACAGAAAAATGGGGAATGCTTTGTGTTTGTGTTGGAATGAATTTTTATATGGATGGTTTAGAAAATTAGGGATCAATGCTTTGAAGGAGTGAAAGGGAAAGAAAATGAAGGTGCAACAAATGAGGTTAGGAGGGGACTGTCAGAGAAATTGAAGGTGCAACTTATTTAAAACTCAATGTGTAGACCACCCACCACCTTCTTTGCTTCTATTTTATTCCTTCTTTGAGTGCAAGGGAAGCAAAAACTTGACCACAGTTTCAGCTTTTGCCTACCCTGCCCATATTCACATACTGGTTTGAGACCATATGGGCTTCGCTATATTATGGGTATGAATTTCAAAACTTTGTTGGGGTGTCATCAAACTTGGACATTCTTTCGGCCTGGTTCAGCTTGGAACTTATGAATGGAATTCACTGTTTGAAAGGGGTCCACCTTGTTTATTTGTGGCCTAAAAGGATCCAAATAAGGTCTTTTTGATTTTTTGTCGAAGGATCCAAATACAATCTAGATTCTTCAAGGTTCAAATCAATCAAACTATTAGGGTTTTTAGGTTGAATGGTTCATGAATTTTGACCCGATTTACATTTTGGTCTTTCAATTTTCAAAATTGTTCATGTGGTCCTTCAACTTTAGTTTCGTTAAGACAAATGGTCCTACTGTTAGTTTTGTTAACTTTGTTTGTAAAATGCAGAGGCAAAATGGTATTATTATATTATTTTTAATTTCCACCATTTGAATATTCCAACAAAGCCAACAAAGCCATGGACAACCTCCACCCG